AAAACACTGCCATCGAGTGGACTGACTCATGGCAACTCTGTAGGGTGGGAGAGCTGCTCCTGAGGGCTCGCTGGTCGTGGACTCTTCACTGGGAGGAGAAAGCCTCACGCCCCCTCGAAGTGGCCGGTGGTTTCGAACTGCTGACCTTGTGATACAGGGCCCAACATGTGACCACCAGGGATCCTATTAGAGAAGCAAATAGTGGATTAAAAGTCCTGCCAACAACTCCAAACAGATTTTCCAGGCTCCTCAGATAAGACTCCGTAGCAATTGGATCAACCAGTCTGCCTGCACACGGAGGCCGCCCCTTTGTGATCTCAGGTCATAGAGTGGACTAACTGCACGGCTCCTAGATCCTGCTACAGGCTGCTTCTGGCATTTTCTCTCCCTATTTTGAACCTGAAAGTGGACCTCTAAAATAGAGGGTTTCCAGGGTCTCGTAGATCACACAGTATCTAAGTTGAAACCTGACTCTTGCCCATTGAGTCGATTCTGACTCCGAGTGACCCTCTGGGACGGGGGAGCACTCCCCTGTGGGAGAGCCCCGTCTTGCTCCGCAGAGCGGCGGGTGGTTTCGAACCGCTGACTTTGTGGTCAGCAGCCCAGTGTTCACCCCAGCCCACTGTGCTACCAGGCTCCTTCTCTGTTACTCGTGTGGCTTCAGTGGTTTCGTTGATGTGTTCTCGGTGCTGCTTTTCTTGCCTCCAAAATAATTTTGTTCATTGGTAGACTCAAATCAAATTACATTTGCTTAATTAGATATATTTTGAATTTTGAAAATCTGCATGTTTAGCTTTGGATTCCTTCACTTAAATTATTTGAAGACCAAGTTGATTATGATGGTATTGTTCTCTACCCTCAAGAACACTTGAGCGGCCTTCTGTGGCCCGTGTTGCCGGACTGCGTGGTTGTCATTGTGCGGTGTTTAGCAGTGGCTCTCACGGCCGAGCGCTCTACCAAACCACTGCCGCAGAGTCCCCTGCAGGCCCTTTTCTGGTGGGGCGGTGACTGGTCTCTGGTAATTCTGGGTTCCCTCGACAGGAGCTTGTTAACTGGCTCGCGTGCCAGGCACACAGGAGCCCTGGTGGCGTAGAGGTTACGTATCCAGCTGCTAACCATATGGTCAGCGGCTCAAAACCACCACCCGCTCAACTGGAGACACATTGGGCTTTCTACTCCAGTAAAGAGTTGGGTCTTGGGAACTCTCACGGGCAGTTCTACCCTGCCCGAGAGGGTCGAGGGCAGTGAGTGGGGTTGGGTTTGTGTGGCTCAGCTCAGCATAGCTCACCTGGCCCACACAAGAGAGCGTGGGCCGGGCCCCCTACCCCTAAGTGTGTGGATGTCAAAGACAGTCTGTCTGTCTTGAGTGAGTAGCTCAGGCAAGGGAGTAGCTTACTTGGCCTCAGGCCAGATGGAAACTGGAACCAGAAAGCTTGGTCAAAGAGTGGTGGCTTTACAGTGATCACAGTGTACCAGGAAGCTGGCATTGATGGAGAGAAAAGGATGGATTTGTGAGAGAGGGCTCGTGTCTTTGATGCAGCTGGTTTGTGGCATCCGGACTAAGCGAGTGAGGGAAAGGGGGCAGCCAGGTGACAGGGTGAGCCCTGGAGGTCATGTGTGTGCCATTCCACAGAGAGGGGAAACTGAGGCTTGTCAAATGAGTTAATGTGCTCCAGGGTCCTCTAGCTCCTGAGAGGCGGGTGTTCCTCACGCTTTCTTACCTTGTTGCCCGTTTTTAGGCCCTACTATTTGGGCTAAATTGGTTGGCGCATATCATAGAGGTTAGGGGGGAAACAGGAGGGTTTTAGATATAAAAATAGTAAACATGTCGATTGGCGAAGGGGTTGTGGTGCTGTTAATCCTTACAATGGGGCAAAAGGCATAAGGGCCGGTCGGAGAGAGACTAGAGGGAGGCTGAGAGGTTATTGTGAGATACCTGAGAAGTAAGATCCGGAGCAAGGGGGAAGGGTGGGGGCAGGCAGTGGCAGGTGGAGCACAGGACGTGCTTAAAAACAGTCGGAAGTTTGGCTTGACCAGTCCTGACGGGCAGCAGGCTGTGGAGGAGGACCAAGGCTGAGCCCTGGTGCCTGGTGCCGGAGTCCCCAGTGGTCCGGTGGGAAGAGGACGAGCAGGGTGGAAGGCCGCGGCAGAGATGAGGCGCCTTGTAGCGTCATGACCTAGAGCCCTTCCCTCCCGCGTCTGCCCACTTCTCTCCGCCGCCGCCTCCTCTCCCACGACCCTTGGGTTCAGTCGCAGACTCTCGCCTCTTTTGACTCCACCTCTAGGTGGTCTCAGCTTCTCATGATGGCCCTAAGTCGACTGCCCCCAGCTTTACTTTTCTATCCCAGACGTTTCTCAGCAGCAGATGGGGCTGACATTTCCTCCTCCCTCGGCGATCTCATTCGTAGGCACCCCAAAGGTTGCGGGAGTTCCGATTCTACCTGCCACCCACAGAACCCGCTGCTCCCCTGCCAGAATCCTGGCAGCTGTCCTGAAAGCATCCATCAGGACGGCAGGTGTTTCTTTCACCAAAAGATGTCTTGGATCCGCCTTCTTCGTCCGTCTGCCCTAGCTTCTCTGGGTCCTCCAGTTCCAGACCCCATCATCTCTCAGAGCCTGGATGACCCCCAGAGCCCCTCCCTGTCTGTCTGTCTGCCGCATCGCACGCACTGCAGGCAGCATGAGACTCAGACTTCTCTCTGCCCAAAGAGGGAGAACCAGGCCTCTGCAAAGCCATCAGCCTCAGTGCCACCTCACCCGTCTCCTCCCACCCTCGCACCGGCCCCTCCCTCCTGCTCACATCATCCCCCTGCTCAGAGTGCTTCCTTGCCAGTAGCCTCGTCCTCCTGCCCCTGGCCCTGCACACCTGCCTCTCCCGACCACCTGGAGCGGTCTTCCTTCTGCTGGCCCCGTCTTACTCTCTGGGCCTTAAAAGCCACCTCTCCCGAGAGTCCCCTAACCAGCCATCTCTCCCATAGCACCCTACTCTTTTCTTCCCTGGTCATTATAAGTGTGTGTACCGCCCCCTTCCGTGACGCACACGGACGTCCCGTGTGTGCAGGGGTGTGATGACAGGAGGAGTGACCTCTGAGTGGAGCCGCCTTGCAGAGAGCCGCCGCCGCCGCTTGGTGGCTGGTGCTGAGTCTGCAGGTCTGTCGAGCATGACACCAGTCCGAGGATCCTAAGATGAGAGAGACGCTGGGGGCCAGGTGCTCTGGGCATGTGCGAGAGAGAATTCCCCCACACCAAAGCAAACACACTCAATGCCACTGAGTCAATTCTGACTCATGGTGACCTTAAGGCAGGGGGAAACTGCCCCTGTGGGTTTCTGAGGCTGTAGCTGTGCAAGAATAGAAAGCCTCGTCTTTCTCCCACGGAGTGGCTGGTGGTTTCGAACTGCTGGTCGCAGCCAAAATGAACAGGAAAAACAAGAGAAGTCCACAGGGAATACTAAACTGGAACAGTCAGAGAGGCCAGTGGAGAACCAGGCGTGGCAAGACATCAGTATTGGAGGGGGCTTTCAGAGTGCTGGTGGTTATCGACAGGTAAATGAATGTATGAGGCTCGGGTACAATCAGAATCAGGCAGTTTCTGTTGGCTTCACAATGAACTGGGCGTTGCTTGAGTCGACGCATGCCGGGAAGGCGCACGGAGCAGGAGCAGGGAGTTGCACCAGGCTGTGAGTGGAGCAGCGAGCCCGTGAGCTGTTGTACAGAGACGTGGGCAGACTCAGGCTTCAGGGTTGTGCGGCAGGGATAGAGTAAAGGACGGTGGTCTCTGAGGGAGATCAGTGGTGGAGGGACCCCAGCAGAAGGGAGCGATTTTAACCCTGAGTCTGGTGGCCCAACCCCGGAGAGCTGACACTGAGGGCAGGCCCAGCCAGGCTGCTCCCTGCCTCCGATAACCTCCCTCCCTGGGCCCCGTTTCTCCTTCAGAAGAGCCTCATTGGACACACAGGAGTTGAGCAAGGTCTTGCGCCCAGCACACAGTGCCACATCCCCAAGGCTTGCTCTCCGGTCCGACAGAGGGAGGGTTAGTGAGAGAGGGCCCATTGGTTTCCTGATGGTTCAGGAAATGTTTCCGGAGTGTTTTTCTCCCATTCAGCAAGCTTTTAGTGAGCGTGGGCATGGGCGCTCAAGATGTTCAAGGCCCCGTGGGGTTACAAGATGATGGGGATGTTCCCCCAACCTTTGGGAGCCCCCCCCCTGCGTCCTGTGTTCTCGGTGTTTTGCTGGCGGCCGGAGCCCTGGGCAGGGCCTGGCCTGTGCTGGTACCTCATCGTGGGGAGCACCCAGTCTGGTGTCTGAGGGTCAGGTGAGGTGCTGCAGGCTGCTTTATTACAAGGGCTGGGTCTGAGAGGCCCGACCTCACACGTAGCTCTTTCTCCATTTCCAAGGACGCCTTCCGCTGTCCCCTTGCCCAGTAGCATGTTGTTGGTGCTTGCGGAGCAAGCCTGGGGGAGACTCGGACTGCTGGGCATCCGATGGATGCGCTCCCGTCTGTCTGTCCCTGAGGCTTCAGGACCTCTCTGCCGGCAGGTCTCACGCCCAGTAGAAGATAGCTGTCCCCACCCCTGAGCCTGTGCACTGTGCAAGTGAAAGTTCTCCTTGAGGTATATTTTAGGTGCCGTTCCGTGTCGTGAGAACGTGCAGCACTGCCACCCTTGTGTGTCTGTGACACGAGTCCAAGGCACATGGCCTGCCCCTCCCAAGTCACCGCGTGTGCCCGTCAGGGGACAGTGACCCCGCAGTAGTGCAGGGACGCCATCTGCTGGAATGTGGCGGTCATGGGACGGTCTCCGAGCTCCCCCGCACCCTGCCATGTAAGCGCGCGGCTGCAGCTCCACAGCTTGTTGCGGGTTGATACCGCGGCTGCCTTACCTATGTGGCGCCTACATCACCCGCCCCACCGAGCTTGTGCTGCTGCACCCCCACCGTGTCTGTGTCACCCGCGGCCCGCGGTGGGTTTCCTTTATTCCCCATCGCTCTCGTTGGCCCCAGTGGACCGCATCGTGGGCCTGGACCAGGTCACCGGGATGACCGAGACGGCCTTCGGCTCGGCATACAAGACCAAGAAGGGCATGTTCCGGACAGTGGGGCAGCTCTACAAGGAGTCCCTCACCAAGCTGATGGCCACCCTGCGCAACACAAACCCCAACTTCGTCCGCTGCATCATCCCCAACCATGAGAAGCGGGTAGGGGCCGGGGCTGGCCAGCAGGGGCACAGTACTGGGGGGTCTCTGGGGCAGGGACGGGCCGAGACCACCATGCTGTTGTCTGCTTGCATAGGCCGGGAAACTGGACCCCCACCTGGTGCTGGACCAGCTGCGCTGCAACGGGGTCCTGGAGGGGATCCGCATCTGCCGCCAGGGTTTCCCCAACCGGATCGTCTTCCAGGAGTTCAGGCAGAGGTGCTGTGCTCTGCCCCGGGCCTTCCCTCTGTCCCTGGCCTGTAGGTCGGTCGGTCGGTCGGTACTGCATGCGTGTACGGAGCAATGGCACAGGACCGGGTCATTTTTCTGCACTGTGGGGGCACGCGGGGTGCTGCAAGTCGGAGCCAGCAGCATCGGACACTATGAATCCAAGCTGAGAGAGAGAGACAATGAGGGAGACGCATCCTTATTTCCTGGGTGCCCTTCTGTTGCCTCGCCACCAAACCCAACCCCCCCTGCAGTCCCGCCTGCGCATAGCGACCCTGCCTACTACTACATAGGGTTTCTGAGCATGTAAATCTGCACAGGGGCCAGACAGCCATCGTTCTTCCACGGAGCAGCGGATGGGCTTGAACCGCTGACCTTGTGGTTAGCAACCCGCTGCCCTGCCTCCGCCTATGCGCCACTGGGCTTATTCCTCAGGGAATGGGATCCCAGACAGGGCAGCAGGCCCTGTGACATGAAGTGAGTGTTCAGGGTCACTCTGAGCCAGCAGAAACATCTGGAAGGCCCCTCCCACCAACACAGGGCAGGGAGGTCCCGATGGACCCCATTGAGAAGGCCCCCAGCCAGATGGGCAAGCGCTCAGTTAGCACGCCCCCGCTGTATGGCACGCCCTGGGGTAGATTTTCACTTCCGTGGTGAGAAATGGAGGGAAATGTTTTCTGTCACAGACGACCAGGCTTTTGATTCTTCTCTGCCCACCTCTCCCCCCGTCTTTGAGCAGCAGGAAGCCTCCGATCAGTTGCGCTTAGACGGCCTTCCGCCGTGTTACTGCCTCGGAGAAAGCAGACCTCGGGCATGGCAGGTGGTCGTGTTTTGGGGTTCTCTGAAGATCTTTCCTTGCAGATACGAGATCCTGACGCCCAACGCAATCCCCAAAGGGTTTATGGACGGCAAACAGGCTTGTGAGCGAATGGTAAGCGGCCGCTGGTGTTTGGGAGATGGTTTTCTGAAGTGTGGGTTGTGGGTAGAATTTGCCCTGCAGCACAGAAGGCCACCCGGGCGCTCTCTCTCTCTCTCTCTCTCTCTCTCTGTCTCGCGCAGATCCGAGTGTTAGAACTGGACCCTAACCTGTACAGGATCGGGCAGAGCAAGATCTTCTTCCGCGCCGGCGTCCTCGCACACCTCGAGGAAGAGAGAGACTTAAAAATCACGGACATCATCATCTTCTTCCAGGCTGTCTGCCGAGGCTACCTCGCCAGGAAGTAAGTGGGCGATCGCTAACCGGTATGTGCGTGTGCCCAGGATGCGAGAGCCGGTGGCGTGTGAGGTGTCCCCATCCTTGTGGGCTCATATCCTGGCCAAGCAAGCCAGGCCACCCCCTGTGCCCCCCCCCCAAACAAAAGCACTGCCAGGGAGTCTGTCCCAACCCATAGCAACCCTATAGATTTCCCAGGCTGTAACCCCTTATGGAAGTATCCTTGCCCTCAAACAGACTCAAAAACCAAGCTCACAGCCATCCGCCGAGCCAGCACTGGCTCATCACGAGCCCCGTGGGTGTCCGGGACTGTCACTGTTGACGGGAGTGGAAAGCCCGTCTTTCTCCCACGGAGCTGATGGTGGTTTCGAACTGCCGACCACGCAGGTCAGCGTGTAACCGCCACGCCACCACGGCTCCTCCAAGAGTAGCAGCGAGGAAGCAAGCAGGAGCCAGTGCAGAAAGTAGAGGTCGGGGGTCCTGCTTCCAGCCTCCTCCTGGGAGGTGCTCTGGGAAGAGAGGCGAGGGGAGCCTCCCCCAGGGGCGGGAGCAACAGACCTGGAGAGAGCACGGTGCCCTTTGAGACTGGAGCAGCCACACTGCAGCATGCGTCTCTCAGCCCCCTGGGGGGCGGGCCGGCCGGCCTTCCCGGTCAGCGCTCCTTCCCGTTCTCCAGGGCCTTTGCCAAGAAGCAGCAGCAGCTGAGTGCCCTGAAGGTCCTGCAGCGGAACTGCGCAGCCTACCTGAAGCTGCGGCACTGGCAGTGGTGGCGCGTCTTCACAAAGGTGCGCGGCGCTCCCCCACGCCCGGGGCTCCCCCTCGGAGGGTCGGCAGGGGGTGACACACGGTCTGATTCTGCCCCAGGTGAAGCCTCTGCTTCAAGTGACCCGCCAAGAGGAAGAACTCCAGGCCAAAGACGAAGAGCTGCTGAAGGTGAAGGAGAAGCAGACCAAGGTGGAGGGCGAGCTGGAGGAGATGGAGAGGAAGCATCAGCAGGTGTGTGCGGCGGGGCCCTCCTCCCGGACAGGTGGCAGCACTCACCCCGCAGCTGTGAGGGAATCGCCCTGCTCGCTGCCACCGAGTCGATTCTGGCTCACGGCGACCGCCCCTTGGTCTCTGAAGCCGCAGCTCTTGGCGGGCGTGTAGAGAGCCTCCTCTTTCTCCTGCGGAGCTATTGGTGGTTTCAAACCACTGACTGCGCCTAGCCAGTGTGCCACGACGGCTTTAGCTGCCATCCTCTGAGATGCTCTCACCCGTCCCGGGAGCATTTCCACTCTGCGACAGGCAGCAGTAACGGCCCATAGAGCGCTGTAGAGCCCCCATAGAATGACGTAAAGTGTGTGTGTGAGAGAGAGAGATTTGGACTCCTGTCAGTCAGCAACCCCACACACACACACCCGTCCCCCTGCTCTGCTTGTGCTTGAGGCACGCACACACACACACACACACACACACACCCGTCCCCCTGCTCTGCTTGTGCTTGAGGCCCTCACGCAGAGGGCCGTGTTTGTTCCAAGCGTATCCCATAAGCCACCGGGCTAAGAAGAGCTGTCTGTTTGCCGCACTTTGAAGTGGTACAGCAACCTCCACTCACAACAGGTCCTTCCTACACATGCAGCCTTCAAATCATGGGCAAGGCTTGGAACATTTCCTTGTGCTAAAAAGCACCTTACAAAATAAATCAAGGCAATTCCGACTGAGCGACCAACGTGTCCGAGACTAAGTCTTTACCGGAGCAGCCAGCCTCTTTCTCCCACAGGGCAGCTGCTGGGCTTGAACCGCCGGCCTCGTGGTTCATGGCCCAGCTCCTGGCTCTGTTCTGTCTCATGCACCTGTTCTGCCTTATTTACAAATCCATCCTAAAGACACACTGAAGGAGTGGGTCTTGCTTTTAATTCAGGAACTGCCTGTCTTTAACCCCGCCCCCCCTTTCAGATGAGACACTGGTGTCAGGGTGAAATAAATGCAGGACTGTTCTCAAATCCGCACCCCCTGCCCAGGCTGCCACGCTTCACAAGCCAAAGAAGGCTCAGGACACGTTTGCCTGGCGGCTGTCATGCTCAAAGCCAAAAACATTAGCCACGAGACCCAAAACATCCGTCGATACCAGTGCTCACTATGCAGTGGTTCTCAACCTGTGGGCCGCGACCCCTTTGGGGGTCGAACGACCCTTTCACAGGGGTTGCCCGATTCACAACAGAAGCCAAATGACAGTGATGAAGTAGCACCATAAATAATTTTAGGGTTGGGGGGTCACCACACATGAGGAACGGTAGGAAAGGGTCGCAGCCTTAGGACGGTTGAGAACCGCTGCTGTAGACCTTGAGTCATATCTTCCCTTTCCTGTGTGCTTGTCCCTTTCTGAAGGACCCCCTGTAGCCCTGGAGGGCAGAGCAGACCCCCCATCCCACCCCGCCCCTGTAGTGGACCTTTCTTCTGCCAGGGACCCATTTAGATCGTCAGAACATCATTTGCAAGCCAGACTGGTCAACCATTTAATTAGCTCACGGCCTTTTGCAAGGGCTGGAGCCGCTGCTCTTGGGAGGGGCACCTGGGTGATGGGGGCTGATCTCAGTGATTTCCAGGGCCTCGTATGGCCCATGGGCTAGGCAGCGCCCATCCCTGCTATTGACTGCCCTGCGGGAACGGAAAGCCCCCTCCTCCTCCAGAGGAGCGGCAGACACGTGTGAACTGCCAGCCCGTGGTTCGCAGCCCACAGCGGGGAGTCTTCCTGCGTTTATAATGTGCCATTCGGGCACAGTAATCGTCCATCGAGTCCTGTTCGAGACAACAGGACTTTCCAAACCGTCCCGGCGACGCTGTGCGTTCCCTGCTGTGACGCCGCCTTGCTGGGGCCGGGGCGCGGGCTGTCATTGCAGCTCCTGGAGGAGAAGAGCATCCTCGCGGAGCAGCTGCAGGCCGAGACGGAGCTCTTCGCCGAGGCGGAGGAGATGCGCGCGCGCCTGGCGGCCAAGAAGCAGGAGCTGGAGGAGATCCTGCACGACCTGGAGTCCAGGGTGGAGGAGGAGGAGGAGAGGAACCAGCTGCTGCAGAACGAGAAAAAGAAGATGCAGGCCCACATCCAGGTACGGGAGAGGGCGTCCTGCAGCGCACTCGCCGAGCAGCGGGCCTTCCGGCGCAGGTCCCTCATTTTGAAGGGGGCGCCGCGCTTCTGTTCTGATGTGGCAGCTTACGGGGGTGATGTGAGTCAGAGCCAGAGGCCGCCCGGGTCTGAGGAGTCCTCTAGAGAGACCGCCTCTCCCTCTCCCTCTCCCTCTCCCTCTCCCTCTCCCTCTCCCTCTCCTAGGGGGGCAGCCAGGGCATCTGCTGACCGATGTGCTTCACGTGAAACAAACGGTTAAGCTACCTGCTTTCGTCACCTGAGGCATGTGCAAGGCAAGGATGAAATTAGCAAAATCCAAATGATGCACAGCAAGCCCTTTGGCAAATGACCCGGTTTTAGAAACAGAAACAGACAGAATAGACAGGTGGGGGGACCCAGGGACGAGAGGAGCCTGGGACAGTAGTCCGGGGCAGGTTGAGAACCTTACTACGTAACTTTTGAGTTCAGTGTCTTTTCTGTGAAGGTCCTTATCCTTCAGGGCTAAGGTTTCCTATGGCACATGACGGCTGGTCTTTCCCCAGCACAGTGTGCAGAAAGGTGGAGGAGGTGTGCAGATGAGGTGGGATTGACCCCGCGTTGGCGCTTGCTAAGGTTGAGCGGATGGGGAGAGGGTTCACGGTGCTCCTCTGTGGACCGCGGGCCCTTCCAGGTGTGGGGGAAGTTCCCATGGTCTCTCCACTCTTCATCTCCCCTAACTTCCTGAGGCCTCTCTCATGTGCCTGCCATTTTTCACAGGAGAAAACAAATCTTCTGCAGAACTTTTCCCTAATTCACTGTGAAGCCCATTGTTGTAGCCAAAGGTAGCCTCTGAGTTGTCGAAGTGACCATGGGGGGTGGGCACTGGTGGGTTGTGTGTGGTGTGGACCTGTGTTTGATGTACCGTATAGTGGAGAGTAGAGGACCGAGACAGCTCATCACCAACTAGGGTCCCACCAGGTGGGACCCACAACGTTCTTGTGCTTAGACAGGCACCCTGGAGACCGAGGCAGCCCGTTCCCCGTAGTCCTGTGTTATTTGGCTCTCGGTTCAGTTGGTTTTAATACTCGTCTCTTTTAACCGAGCACATGGTTTAGTATGTGTTTGTGTGTCCTGTTTGTATTTTCCTCTGTTGCCGTTTTCCCAAAGTAGGGATTTAATAACGGTGTGTTGCCTTACTGTACGGAGGCACCAACACGCTGTATCAAGCCCTTTTCATAGCAGCTCAGAGTTTCCTGGAGTGACAACACTCACCCGGTGTCGTCTTCAGCGACTCACGCCTGTGATCGCCTCCCCAGAGTGCTGGTCGAAAGGACACGCTCGCTTTACAAAGCTTGCTGCTCTGGCTTCCAGAAGGGTTGGCTCCGTCCGTACACTAAGCTGTAGTGGCCGAGAGTCCCCCGGCGCTGCACTTGGCACTTGTTAGCATACCCCTGCCGCTGTGAAAACCCAGTGTCGGTGCCCCCCGGGCGGAACCTGGATTCCAGCTCTCACCGGGGTGGCGGGAGCGGGCCCTGACGGCGTGATGTTCTGCACCAGGACCTGGAGGAGCAGCTGGATGAGGAGGAGGGCGCCAGGCAGAAGCTGCAGCTGGAAAAGGTCACGGCGGAGGCCAAGATCAAGAAGATGGAGGAGGAGATCCTGCTGCTCGAGGACCAGAACTCCAAGTTCATCAAAGTGAGAGCCCGGAGCCCCACTCCCTGCAGGGGTGCCAGCGTCACCTGTGTCCTTTCCAGAGACAGGGCAACAAGTGGACGGCTTAAGCCCAGCTCACACCCTTAATGAGCTTGGGTTTTGTGCACGGTTACCACTGGCTCCTGGCTTGGTCCCTGGGGGGCGGTTACTCGCCCGGCACTGAGTGGGTCACGCAGACCTGGGGTCTGCGGGGAGGCCTCTGGGAACACGGGGGCTGGGCCCACGCTCCTCGTGTCCTCTGTGGGCAGAGAGTGGACTTGTTACGTAGCGAGTGGTGGCAGAGCAGAGCCGCTGCTCTGCACGCTGTCCCGACGCAGCCGTGTTTTCATTCAGGAGAAGAAGCTCACGGAAGACCGCATTGCTGAGTGCTGCTCGCAGCTGGCCGAAGAGGAGGAGAAGGCCAAGAACTTGGCCAAGACACGCAATAAGCAGGAAGTGATGATCTCAGATTTAGAAGGTGTGTGTGTGTGTGTGTGTGTGTGTGTGTTTAGTATCGCCCGTTCATGGACACGATTGGGATCTAAGTTAAGGGCGAGCTGCAGAGGCCATGGCTTTGGCAAAACCTACTGCCGTCAAGTTGATTCCAGCTCCTCAGGATCCCATAGGACAGGGTGGAACTCTCCCAGGTTTCCGAGACTGCCCGTGTTTACGAGATCACGTAGCCTCATTGCCCTCCCTCGGAGCGGCTACTGGGTTTGAACCCCTGACCTTGCGGTTAGCCCAGTGGCTCCCCCAGCAGCAGCTGGAGAGCGCATGCTCTAGGATCAGCCAGCGGTAGGGGCCGTCAGAGGAAGGAAGAGCACGTGGCTCTCGGCTTCCCGGGATCAGAGAGCTCAGGTCGGGGCCACTGAAGGGGCTTGGCCACTGGTTGTTCACCCCTCCCCCTGCTGTTGATTATGACACTGAGCGAGGAGGGAATGCAAGTCAGGAGAGGGTTTTCCAGTTCACCAGCCGCCCAGGTCCTCTGAGGAAATGCACACAGAGCGGGCAGCCTCCGCTGCAGGGTGACCAAGCTCCTGCCGGAGGACACACGGGCACAGCTGGGTCCATCTCCCCCACACTTCGCCTCATCCCTGGGGAAGCGCTGTCTCCTGGGTTGAGAACAGATTCTCACCGATGGGAGAACAGGGTGCCTGGGCCCTGTGGCACCCCTTTAAACACTTGGGTGCAGCGCTGGGTTGGGCCCAAGGGGTCCCAGATCACTTCAGCCGGAGTTATGTAGTCTCAGTCTGCACAAAAGGCCATCCTGTCTGTCAGCTGCAGCCCTCACCTCCCGCCCCCCGTCACGTCCGCGCCATTACCGGGGGACAGGCTTCTGATGGCTGCGGGGTTCCCGCTCTGCTGGTGTAAAGCTCTCGAGTTGACCCACGTGGTGTGTCCTTCTGTGCCTTTTCTCTCTCGCCCTAAAGAACGGCTCAAGAAGGAGGAGAAGACGCGGCAGGAGCTGGAGAAGGCCAAACGGAAACTGGACGGGGAGACCACCGACCTGCAAGACCAGATCGCCGAGCTGCAGGCCCAGATCGACGAGCTCAAGGCCCAGCTGACCAAGAAGGAGGAGGAGCTCCAGGGGGCCTTGGCCAGGTCGGTCTGCGGTCTTCGCCCCTTGGGGCCTGCTTGCAGAAGCACGTCTGTCGAGGAATGTACCCCCAGCTGGGGTGGCCTAGGAACGGGAAAAGCCCAGGCATGCGAGACAGTAACCCTCATGACCAGTTTGTTCTCAGGATGTGCGCGGAGTCTAGAGGTTCGTGTCGCATCAGATGCTGTGGTTTCTGTGCCTTGCAGGCTCGTTTTGTCTGTTTTTAATCACTTTACTGGCGTAACGCTCACATGTCATGTCACTTAATTCCCCGTCACAGTCGGGTTGCAGGCTCACCCTAACGTGGCGAGGACATTTCCCAGTGGCCGTGCGTCACCTCAGGCTCTCAGTGACCCGTGCAGGCCATAGGCTGTCCAGTGATGGTTTTGTAGAAGTGGGTCCCCGGCCTGTCCTCCGTCGCCAGCCCTGTAGTTAGTTACTAGCCGAGCGCGTGAACAGTGTGTGCCCAGCAGGGCCTCCTCAGGCGCTCAGAGGAGATCGGTCAGGAGAAATGAAATGCTCCCTCCAGTGGCAGCTTCATTTGATGTTCCTCTGTCTTTAGAATGCCGTGCACGCAGCGTACATATGTTCGCATCAAAACCTCGATTCTTTATGAAGAAAAACGACGTGGGTCCATGACCGTAGCCCTTGGCGTCTAGTGTGTGATTTGTCCTCCCGAGAAACTCTCTCGGCAGACCTCTCTCTCCAGTCCCTGCTGTCACTCGTCTCCTGGCCAGACACGTCTCCCACTTTGGTCGTTCGCCAGAACAAGAGCTGGGGGCCCTCCCTTCCCCTGCCTGGGGTGCCGCGGTCGGCCCCGGTCAGAGGGAGCCACCGACACACCCAGAACCACACCGGGAGTGAAAAGAGGGCGGTGGAGGTGCCCTCCCGGAACGAGTGGAGGGAGGGCATTTCAGTGCGCCAGGTTGATGCCTCGTGCCACCAGCTCACCCGAGTTTGCTCATGCTCGCTGCTGGCCCGCGGTTGGCCTGACGGCTCCCGGGCAGTCGGAGCTGTCCGGACAGAGGGCTGGCCTCAGAGGCGACCGCGTTGGATTCTGGGCCTGGCTCTGCCGCGGCTGGCTTTGTGGCCTCACGGCCTGCGTGCCCTCCAGCCTCACAGAGCTGCGCTGCCCCCGCGGGGACTGGTCACGCTGGCGGCGCCTGTGAGGGCTGCTCACCACGGCCTCTGTCTTCACAGGGGGGACGACGAAGCCCTGCACAAGAACAACGCGCTGAGAGTGGTGCGGGAGCTGCAGGCGCAGATCGCCGAGCTGCAGGAGGACTTCGAGTCCGAGAAGGCGTCGCGGAACAAGGCGGAGAAGCAGAAGAGGGACTTGAGTGAGGAGCTGGAGGCGCTGAAGACGGAGCTGGAGGACACCCTGGACACGACCGCGGCCCAGCAGGAGCTCCGGTGGGTGCTCACTCGCTCGCTCCTTCCTGAGCGCGGTCCTGCCTGCACGCTCCTCTCCCGCTGCTCCTGAGGGGTCTCCCCCCTCCTGGAAACGCTGCACACTGGTGACGAGGCAGGACTGCCCACAGATGGTCCCAGGCAGACTCAAACCCCCTGCTCTGGGAACCTTGCGGGGCGGAGCAGAGCTGCCCCTGTGCATTTGACTGCTCACAGGGGTAGAAGCCAGTCTTTCTCCCGAGCAGCACTGCCTGGCTTCAAGCTTCGGGCCTGTGGACTGCGGCCAGAGGCATAACTACCGCACCACCAGGGCCCCAACATGGTAAAGAGTTTGGGTTCTAGTAGACAGCAGCCTGAGATGCACAGTTCAGTCAACACAGGTGAAGCCAGTCGGCGACGGGGCCTCCAGGGGAAGGCAGAGAGGCAGGCACCCACAGTACTGGAACCTGGCTCACAGACAGAGCTCTGCTCCTGGAAGTGGGAGAGCTGCCCAGGCCGCGCGCCCACCCCCCCCCCCCCCACCCACCATTCAGAACAGGGTCGGCAAGCAGAGGAACAAGGTGCCGGGCACAGCTGGCCAGGTGCAACCAGACAGGTCCCCAGAGCAACCTCAGACACAGGAGAGCAGAGCAGGTGAAGGGGCTCCTGGTGGCTGCTCCTGGCACGTGACTGTCAGCCCAGATGAGCAGTCAGGGTTGTGGAGACGTGGTGGTGGGAGATGTCCCGTGCCGTCCCTGCTTCCTCGGCCTCTCCCTGACCACCTGCTACTTCCTCTCCCTCTGCTCCAAACAGCCCACCTGAGAATCCCAGGTGCTAAGTGCCTCGGCAGGTAGGTCAGGCGCCCCGCCAGCTGCTCTGTGTGTGTGTGTGTTGGCGGGGCGCCCCAGCACTGTGGGGAGGTGCTGAGGGCTGGAGCGCAAAGAGCAGGAAGAACCATTGATGAAGGCAGGTGTGGTCAGAGTAGGAAACTAACCGGGAGCCGCCGAGTGAGCAGTTCGAAACCCTCAGCTGCTCCTCAAGGGAGAGATGAGGCTACTCCCAGAAGGAGCTGAGTCTCTGAAACCCACAGGGACAGGCCAGCCCTGTCCGACAGTCTGGTCGGATTCGACTGAAAGGCAGTGAGTATCAGACTGGGCCTTTGTGGCCATGCAAGGACAGCAGCACGCCAAGTCCCAGCCACGATTAGTAATTCCGTGTACGTGGGGATTAGGGGCCACCACTATTCCAGGCTGTGACAGGGCGATCTCCCAGTTCCACGCTGCAGCCAGAAGCAAGGCTGTGAAGGGCACAGTGTGTCTGCGGTGGAGGGGGTGCCCCTGACCTCTGAGTCCCGAGGGTGCAGGGTGAAGGCCGAGCATAATGGGGATTGTCAGAGGGTCAGGCCATGAGGATGTGAGACCAGCCACCCGTGCAGAACGGAGCACATCAGGTCTTTACCCAAGGGCTCCACGTGGCATTTAACCTAAGACGTCGCCTTACAAACACACGTTTCATTTCACCAGCTAATTCTGAGCCTCACTCTTAATCTCGGTTGTTTGTGTTCCTCCTCCCTAGTACAAAACGTGAGCAGGAAGTGGCAGAGCTCAAGAAGGCTCTGGAGGAGGAGACGAAGAACCACGAGGCGCAAGTCCAGGATATGCGGCAGAGGCACGGCACCGCCCTGGAGGAGCTCTCGGAGCAGCTGGAGCAGGCCAAGAGGGTAAAGGCAGAGCCAGGGAGGGGGCCACTCTAAGTGCGAAGTCGGCGGTTCAAGCCCCCCGCTGGCCCTTGGGGGAAAGATAAGCTACCTTCTCCCGTAAAGATTCGCAGCCTCAGGCCCGAAATGGGCCATGCTGTGAGTCAGAACCAAATCCCTGGCATTGGTTTGGGTTGGGTTTTACTGGCTCAGCACAGCACAGAAGGAGCCCCGGGGAATTGTGATTTGGGAGGTGGGGTGCCAACAGCACGGTCAGAGGTTCTAGCCCACCAGCTGACCTTTGGGAGAAAGCTGAGACTGCTCTGTTGATTTACAGCGTCAGGAGCCTTGTGTTTGGTCACGGATTTGGCATCAACTCCGTGGCAGTGGGTTTGGGGGGGTTTGTTTTGGGGGGAATAGCACTGGGGTGGGCTAGGTGGAGGAGCCAGTTCACTCAAAAGGGCGTGTTTGCTTTTTGAAGACACACTGCCCGTGGAGGTAGGAAAGCCCTGTTTTGTTTTTTTATGAACTAGGTGGAACCATCTACCCTCTGAAATCCCATATTCCTCCCCAATTTCTCCCCCATTACCATTCTTCCTGAGGCGCGCACACACCTGGATGCTTTTTAAGTCTGTCTGCGCTCCTCGGCTGCGGGTGGTCACACAGTCCCGTCTAGAGTGCTCCTCCCGACCTCTCACCTCCTGCCAGGTCCCGGTGCCCACTCCTGCCAGTGGTTTCCTTGCCCGCTCTTCTGTGGCAAAGCGACATCTCCTGGGGAAAGCCATGCCCTCTCCATGCCCTGTGGGGCAGCACGCCCTGACGGGGCCCTCATTTCCACACTGGGAGAGACGGGCATGCGCCGAACCTAGCACCTTGCACGCTGACTGAGAAAGGCGGGGCGTGGGCCGTCGTCCCGTCAGCTGGGGTTGTCGCGGGCGGCCTGCGTGGCCCGCACACCGCTCCCGGGTTCAAAGGCGCTCCTTTGAAGGAGGCATGACGGTCCCCCCTCCTCGCAGTTCAAAGCGAACCTGGAGAAGAACAAGCAGGGCCTGGAGACGGACAACAAGGAGCTGGCGTGTGAGGTGAAGGCTCTGCAGCAGGTCAAGGCCGAGTCGGAGCACAAGAGGAAGAAGCTCGACGCCCAGGTCCAGGAGCTCCACACCAAGGTCTCTGAAGGGGACAGGCTACGGGTGGAGCTGGCCGAGAAAGCCAACAAGTTGCAGGTAAGCCCCGAGAGTCTGCTAGAAGTATGTCCATCGCTTGCCTGTCTTACGGCTGTAAGGAGGAGCCCCCGTGCTATAGTGGGTAACACTGTGGGCGGCTGACTGCAAGGTTAGCAGTTCGAAACCACCAGCCACTCCGTGGGAAAAAGATGAGGCTGTCTACTCCCAGAAAGAGTTAGTCTCAGAAGCCCACAGGGGCAGTTCTGCCCCTGTCCTACGATTGGATGGCAGCGAGTGGTTTGTTTGGGACAGCTACAAAAGATCCCTGGAATCCGCCATCATGGGCTTAAAAATAAATAAGACAGGGTGGTAGGGGCCCAGTACTCGCACCTGTGGGCCCCAGGTGGCACGGGTGCGTTTCAGGACCTACTAGTGGTAGAAAGGCAGGAGGTGTGGGCCCGCTCGGGAATGCCTGGCGAGCTGCTGGCCGAGGGCCGCCGCCCGGGGAACTCTGGCGGCTGGTTCTAACGTGCACACGTGGAGCCGGCCACGGCTGGTTTGGTTGGGTTTAAGTGCGTGCCTTCCTTTAGCACCCTTCCATCGTGTCTGCTGCTGCACAGAGAAAGCGGGATGCACCCGCAGCTGCGTCTGACGAACTACTTGAATTGCGCTTCTAGCCCTTTGGTGCCTGCACACAGTTGGAAAAGCACAATTTCGAATGACGTTCCAAGTCCTGTGATGACTTGAGACAGCCGGCTCCGTCTTTTGCTGGCTGATGCACCAGCCCCAGTGCAGCCTTCTCTAGACAGAGGCTGTTTGATAAATCCTCACGCAGAACCCCTAGAGCAGGCTCCTCACACTACGGCCCGCAGGCCACATGCCGAGGACATTTTTCCAGCCCACCAGGTGTTTTTGCCTCATTTGTCTTTTTTACTTCAAAATAAGATATGTGCAGTGTGCATAGGAATTTGTTCATGGTTTGTTTTTTAACTATAGTCCGGCCCTCCAACGGGTCTGAGGGACAGTAAACTGGCCCCTGGTTCAAAAAGTTTGAGGACCCTGCCCTAGACCCTCCTCGGGTCCTTGGCCCTAGGATGTAATGAAGGTTCTACACGCCGCTTAATCTTTGAGAATGCTCATTGCAGAGGTATGAATGAATGAATGGTCCAAAGTAGCTCTAATGTCCACGAATGGACATCTGTGCAGCCAGTAAAAATGATATACAGAAGTGTGGAAAGATGCATATTATCCAGGGCCCCATAAAAAGACAGCCACCGGCCCTGTTGTGTTGGATGCCCCCGAGGACCCCCCTAGCTGGGATGCGTCTGAGAACCCCCCTAGCTGAGATGCCCCCGAGGGCATCCCTAGCTGAGATGCGTCTGAGGACCCCCCTAGCTGAGATGCGTCTGAGGACCCCCCTAGCTGAGATGCGTCTGAGGACCCCCCTAGCTGAGATGCCCCCGAGGGCATCCCTAGCTGAGATGCATCTGAGGACCCCCCTAGCTGAGATGCCCCCGAGGACCCCCCTAGCTGGGATGCGTCTGAGGACCCCCCCTAGCTGGGATGCCCCTGAGGACCCCCCTAGCTGGGATGCGTCTGAGGACCCCCTCCCCCCTAGCTGAGATGCGTCGCTGGGAAGGCTCACAGCACTCGGCAGGGTGCTCATCACCCAGCTGTGATTCATCACAGGGAGAGGCAGAACAAACACAAAGCAAGCTGAGGAACGGAGGGGGGCAGGTTCTAAGAGTCACGCAGGACAGCCTCGTTCCTGCAGCGCTGACTTGGGAGGGCCTGTGTGAAATGAGGTGACCAGGGGTACCTGTTCTCGACTCAATGCTCCAGGTGGTTCCTGGGGCCGGCTGTACCGGGAAGCCCTGGTGGCACAGTGCTTAAGTACTCACCTACAAGACCCACGGTGTCAGCTGTTCACACCCACCAGCCACTCCACTGGAGAAAGGCATGCACGGGCCGAGATCCACACCTTGGAAAGCCCCAAGGGGCCGTTCCGCTCTGTCCTACAGGGTCACTGGGAGCTGGGATCCGCCCAGAGCAACGGGTGGGGGAGGTTTGAGCCGGGCCTGTGGGCACCCTTACCCAGGCTTCTAGGAGGAAAGCAGCTGGCCCCAGCACCGCACGGTGCGCCCAGTCTGATGTTAGAGTACACCAGCCCCTAGCAAAATCATGGGGTCCGTAGGCGCAACTGTACGGCGATAATATATAAGGATCATAGTAAAGTCGGGGACTAGGAGAGAAGATAAAGTAAAGGAGTCGGACACATGCATGGTAGCATGCTCACCTCCAGGACGGCCGTGGTCTCAGCAGCCCGGTCTGCGCAGAGAGCAGGAGAGGGTGAATCTCTACTGTCTTGGGATATTTGCAGGCAGCCATAAGACATGTTCATGAGTTACATACGTCACAGGGTGGGTGCTAATCACAGTAAAGTCCCTGAGCTCACAGGTGAGGAAACCCAATGCCTGCATTGGGGGAAGGCATGAGGGGGCTGGGTGCCGCTGCGGGAGGAGATCATCAAAGAATGTCTGCTTCCACAGGGAGACAGAATCAGCCATGTGCTCCCTTTAAGGCAGCCTAGCGGTTAGGGGAGGGTCTGTGGGAGTGACATTCAAAGCAGGCTCATGTGCTTGGACTTTATCTCTAATTCAGCTTTCCCGATTCCCTCGGTTAGACGTTGGGGAATATAGCCCTGGTCATCTTCCCTCAGTGCTAGTTCCCACAGTCAGCCTGCGTCGGGTCCCTCTGGCTACTCTCCCCGTGGGAAGAGAGACCAGCACTGCAGATCGCCAGCCTCGCCGCGTCCATAGTCGATGCTGCCAAAGTGCTGCCGGGATTTCCATCTCACTGTTACCAACATCTAGCCAGGGCGTAAGCCAGAACTCAGAGGCAGCCTTTCCTGGGGGCATCTGGCTTCAGAATTGTCGCATGCTCTCGAGAGTGGGGGGTGGGGGGAGCAGCCGGCACAGTGCCTCTGGAGCAGCAGACAGCTGGCCTGGACGGCCTTCCTCCATTAGCTTGGAACCTTTTCAGCTCGTCTGCCTCGCGCGTAACTCCACCCCCAAAACTGTCGTTGCTGCCGCTGTTCGATTTGTGTTGCAGAATGATGGTTCTGAAACGTTGCCCCCTGCCTGCGGCCCACTTGACTCTCACCTTTGACGCCCCTGCAGAATGAATTGGACAGTGTCTCCACACTTCTGGAAGAAGCGGAGAAGAAGGGGATTAAATTCGCTAAGGACGCATCTGGTCTGGAGTCGCAGCTGCAAGACACGCAGGTAGAGTCACGTGCAAGTCGGGGGGCCAGGCTGGGTCAGGACACGCCTTCTCCATCCTCACCATGCCACCTCACAGTGTGACCAAGGAGCCCGGTGCCTCAGTAGGCTGCTGACCGCTAAGGTGAGGCGGAGCCACATGAGGGTTCTGCAAGGACAGCGCATCCGCAGGTTCTCTGACCTGCGTGCAACCTTAGCTAGGAATCGACCCCATAAGGCCTGTATTAACAGTAAAATTTCAAGGTACCGAAGAAATAGATGTTTTGCAACGTATGCGAAAACATAGTTAGGATATTATTTTGTGAAGTGTTCGTGCATCAAGAAGTGTTTCCTTAATGTTCTGGTAACAGCCGCGTTCTTGTCTCGGTGACTAACATAACCGAAGTATTGACCTTCTTAAAAACACGCAGGAGCTGCTGCAGGAAGAGACGCGGCAAAAGCTGAACCTGAGCAGCCGGATCCGGCAGCTGGAGGAGGAGAAGAACAGCCTGCAGGAGCAGCAGGAGGAAGAGGAGGAGGCTAGGAAGGCCCTGGAGAAACAGGTGTTGGCCCTGCAGTCCCAGGTGTGTGTCTCCTCCGGAAGCCGTGGGTCAGCCGCAGGGGGCCCAGTACTGTGGATTGCCTCCGCTCCTTGTGGGAAGTGAGGCCTGTCCCATGTGTTGTTCTGTCTTCTGACCCAGCCAACTGCTCACAGACTGCCGATTGCAAAGACGGGGGCGCCAGGCTGTACCAGCTTTGGGCCCGACCGTTATTAGCCTGGCAATTCCGCTACAGCCTGAGGCTCGTTGGCCTTAAAACCACATCACACTGGCAGAGAATGTGTCCCCTCCCCTGTCACCCCCCGTTGAGAATGAATCTTTATTCTTACGCGTGCAAACCTCCGCTGGCTTTGAGCTCGTCCACCCCAATCCACGCTCTCTCATTTGAAAACCCAGCTGGCCGATAGCAGGAAGAGGGTCGATGACGACGTGGGGACCATTGAAGGCTTGGAAGAAGTCAAGAAGAAGCTTCTCAAGGACGTGGAGGCCCTGAGCCAGCGGCTGGAGGAGAAGGCGCTGGCGTTCGACAAGCTGGAGAAGACCAAGAACCGGCTGCAGCAGGAGCTGGACGACCTGACCGTCGACCTGGACCACCAGCGCCAGATCGTCTCCAGCCTGGAGAAGAAGCAGAAGAAGTTTGACCAGGTGTGTCCGGTTAGCAGCCTGCCAGACGGGCGGCCTGTGTCCTTTCAATGGACAGGGGAGCTTGTCCCTTTGAAAAGGCGGGTCTGCGTCTTTGCGGCACCATCGGGGAAAGCGACGGGGAGGGCAACAGTGCACGCTCCCCTCCAGTGGTGGCTTTCCTCGTGGCCCACCCGACGGGGCAGCTTCTTCATGGCCTCTCTCCCTCCCCTCTAGCTGCTGGCAGAGGAGAAGAACATCTCGGCCCGCTACGCGGAGGAGCGCGACCGCGCCGAGGCAGAGGCCCGGGAGAAGGAGACCAAGGCCCTGTCCCTGGCCCGGGCCCTCGAGGAGGCGCTGGCAGCCAAGGAGGAGTGTGAGCGGCAGAACAAGCAGCTGCGCGCAGACATGGAGGACCTGATGAGCTCCAAGGACGACGTGGGCAAGAGCGTGAGTCGCGTGGCTCAGCCCGCGCCGTGGCCCGTGGCCCGGGTGCAGGTCTTCTAGGATGAGCTGCCAGGCTTGGCTTGGCGCCTCGGCACTGGTGGGCAGGAGGCTGAGCTCTGGGTCCCCTTTGCCGGCCCTGGCCGCGCCCTGCTGCGTCACCAGGGGCAACTTCAAGCCAAGGGCTTTTCCCCTCCCCTGCAGCTCTAAGCACTTGTCAAAGCCACCCCAAGGTCACCTTGCATTTAGGGAGTTAGGAGGGTGAGTGGGAATTGGAGGGACCGGGTGGCAGCTGCTCTCCCTGACCAGAGGCTTCTAGGAATCGCCCTCGTGTCCTGTGGGGGGTGTGGTGCTCGGGGCATGGCTCACCCTTGGTTCATTTCTGTGGCGCTGTGTGTCCCTCCACCCAGCACACGTTGCAGAGAGGCCCCTCCTGCCCCGGTGAGGTGTTGCATAGAGGGAAGGTGTGCAGGCCAGGCCCTTCCACTAACAGCCTGGTGGCCGTGGACGACCTTTGAGTGTCCTTACCTGTCAGGTGGGCCCTGCGCTCAGCCTGCTGCACCCAGCTCCCAGACAGGGCCTTGGAAAAGCATGGATGTTCCCAGCAAAGGCAACTCCTCATCTCCCTGGGGCACAGGATCTCTAGGCACCTAATGATAGACTAAAGACTGTCCTGCCACCTGGAACAGAAATGCCGAGATTACGCGGCAGAGTGTGGGGCAAGATTCCACGGGGTCTGCCGTCTTGTTCCAGCTGCGCTCTCTCTGGAATAACCAGATGCACATTTACGCCACAGACATTGTTCTCACATCTGCCCAGGGCCAGGCGGTGCTGAGACAGGCTCTCCCACCTGTGGTCAAGGCCTGTGATCGAAGGGGGTTCCGGGGCTGACACAGCAGTGTCTGCCTTAAAGGCTGTTGGGAGGAGCATTGGGACATGAGGTGGATGAAGCACTAGCACCGAGTGTGCGTGTGGAGAGCCCCCCGTCAGAGAAGGCCAGGGCTCTGGTTGAGCTGTGCCCTGCTTCTCAGGCCTGAGACCCGTGTGCATTTCCAGCACAAAGGGCAGAAAGAGCTGGGTGGCCAACATTACCCAATGGCCTTCGGAAGCAGGCCAGAGACTCGTCAGCAGACAGGCTTCTCCAGCTGTGCCCTCTTTTCAGTGTCCTTTAGTCCTGAAAGACCGAAGCCCGAGGTCCTCAGAGGTGGTGATTGTGGGCCACACCTGAAATGGCGGGTGGAATGGCCACGGCCGGGGTGCCCACGCATGTTGGCTGGCCCCAGGTGACCGGATGGCTAGCATCTGAGTGTCGGCCTAGAGTAGGACGCCCGCTGTCCTTTCTGTGCCTCCGCTGAGGGCCAGCTCTCGTGGTTCAGGTCCATGAGCTGGAGAAGTCCAAGCGGGCCCTGGAGCAGCAGGTGGAAGAGATGCGGACGCAGCTGGAGGAGCTGGAGGACGAGCTGCAGGCCACAGAGGACGCCAAGCTGCGGCTGGAGGTCAACATGCAGGCCATGAAGGCCCAGTTCGAGCGGGACCTGCAGACCAGGGACGAGCAGAATGAAGAGAAGAAGCGGCTGCTGGTTAAGCAGGTAGGTCAGACGAGAAGACCAGCACTTCCGGTTCTTCCGAGCCCTGCTGCTCTGGACCAGCCGTCCGGTGCGTGCGTTCCCGCGGACACTAGCTGGGGCACTGTCCGTTAGAATTCCCGTTTCTGACCTTCACTGTAGCTGGTTTTGATTTTCTTTCTCAGACCCCTGAAGTAATGTTTAAGGAGCCTTGCTGGCGTGGTGGTTACGCTATGGGCGTACCCAACAAGGTTGGCAATTCAAAACCACCAGCCTGTCCCCAGCACAAAGACGAGGCTTTCCTTCTTCTTTGAAGTTGGGAAAGATTTTAGTGAGGCCGGGAAGAATTCCCGGGAGGGAAGGGATTGCAGAGAAGGACGGTGGCATCTTGAGCCCTGGGCGGGTTCCAAGACCCAACGAGTTAGGTCAGGGAAATGGCCGACGAGGCTTTCTGTGCTCAGAGTGTCCGTCTGGGGAAACCCACAGGGCCAGTTCTCCTCTGACCTTGAGTTTTGGGGGTCAGGATACTTCCCCGATCTGTTGCTGCATCACCGACTCTGTGCCCGGGTCCGGGAGACGGCCCTCTCCTGCCGCGCAGCAGGGTCGGTCGGGGCGGGGCTGGTGACCTTGTGCGGGGTCAGAGCTGCAGACTCTTGTGACCTTGACCCTCGCTGTCAGGTCCGGGAGCTGGAGGCGGAGCTGGAGGACGAGCGCAAACAGCGGGCGCTCGCCGTGGCCGCCAAGAAGAAGATGGAAATGGACCTGAAGGACCTCGAGGCCCAGATGGAGGCAGCGCACAAAGCCCGGGACGAGGTGCTCAAGCAGCTCCGCAGGCTGCAGGTGAGCCGCCTCCCGCCCGGTGGGGAAGGGGGTTAACAGATGACGGCGTTTTCCCACGGGCTTCACAGAGCTCCCTCATCTATGCTTTCCCTTGGGGCTTTATTTCACTATTCCCGTCACGGAAAACTAAGTGGGGAGAGTGCTTTTTACATTGATTCTTGACTCCTGCAACCATCCTGGATTGACTGACTTTAAGAACACGGGTTCTTTAAGAACGTGTTTATGCAAGAAAGAGCCTGCCCCTCTGGTGGCAGTCCAAACGCACCAGCTCCTCTGGGAGAAGGAGGCTGTCTGCCCCTGAAACACCTACAATCCCGTCGTCAGTCTGAACCGCGCGGGGGCGCTAGGCTTTGGTAGAGCGAGTTGACTTCTTCCTCTCTAATCCTGATGTGAGCTTGCTTGCGCGTTACTGCATCCGCGTCTGAGTCGGTCGGTTTCTGCCTCAGTGGCAGTGACTTGTGAATAAACCCTCTGCCTCCCTTTCCCGGTGCTGCTCGTGTCTCTGCATTCCCCGGGGAGCAGCACCTGCTGTGGCACGTCTTCCCCCAGCTCTCTTCCCGCTTGTTTACTCCTCTTTCTAATCGCACAGTAGATTGATGCGGGCTGTTCATTCCCAAGTGGGATTGTAACCGGAAGTCTTGGCGTCGCTGTGAGGCGCCTTCCAGTCAGTTCCAGTTCTTCCTGCTCTCCTGTCCGGTCTGGCCCCAGGCTCCCTCAGTTAGGTCTTAGCCACCGCTGCAGCAACTGCCGTGCACGTCCTCCAGGGTCTTCCTCTTTCTCACTGACCTCTGCCGGCGTGGTGTCCTCCTCCAGGGACTGATGCTTTCTGATCACCTGTCCAAAGGGTGAGCACCCAAAGCCCCGACGTGCCAGAAACGGAGGCTCGGCCTCACTGCTCAGGAGCTTTTTGGCTGTACTTCCTTCTGGAAGTCCAGGATGCTCGCGTGTTCTTCTTGACCAGCACCGTCCTTCAGATGGATTTACAACACGTATTTGTGAGGACCGGCTTCAACCCGTAACGCTCTTCCCTTTGCCCCTGCGCCACCCACCTCAGCACCCGTGTCTCAGTCACACACAGAACAGACTCGTTCACCCAGAATCTTACGTCCGCGCCGGGCCAGATCGCAGCTTTGGAATTGCCGAAATCAAGTAGCTTTAGGCATGCTCCTTCCTTTCATCCCCGTGGAGATGTAGGATACAAGTTACTCTGCTTCCAAAAGGCAAGGGTAGAGTAAGCGCAGGGTACACCTTTCCATTACAAACGAGAGAAATTGGGGAGCAAAAAAAGAAAACAGGCACCCAGCAAATCCAACCCCACAGGACGATTGCCATGAGCACCCGAAGCGGAAATCACCCTCTGTTCTCCCAGGCTGTGCTTCTAATGTCCGCCAGCCAGAGCCCCGGGGCTGCCCGCGCTTTCTGGATTCTCGGTGGCCATTCCTTGACCCTGGGCGTCAGCAGCATCTTTGGGGCCCACGGAGACAGTAGCTCTGCTCCCTTGGCTGCAGGTGGCCCGTGCTGAGCAGTGCTTGTGCCTCCTGCGTGTGGCAGAGCAGTCCCGCAGCGTTGGATGGCGGCCCGTCCCCCGACACTCCGTGGTGGGGCTGGTCAGGATCTAGCACTGTGACCCAGGAGACCTTTGCTGCCCCCCGCCTTTGAAACCGAGAAAGCCCTGCTTCCTTCGCCCCTTCACCAGCCCTGCTGAGCTCTGCGCCGCTCCAGCGTTGGGCCTTCACTGTCCTTGGGAGAGGACAGTGCATACAGCTCCTTTGGGCCTGTTTCCTGCCTGCGAATACCAGAGACAGATACACTCTCCTGTTGTTCTCTCTGCCTCCTGCGGTCTAAGGTGGTGTCCTTTCTGCTCCGGCAGCTGGTGAGACCCGTTGGTCACAGGTTGCGTGTCTTTAACAACAGTTTTGTGTAGCCACGTCCGTGGTGAAGGTTCCAAGAGAAGTGTCCTTGATTTGTACCACCGAAGCCCCGCCTTCGTTTCCCAGTTCCCCTCGTGCTCACATTGCCCTCTGCAGGCCCCTTTCGGATCCCGCTGGGTTTTCACTTTTTTTTTTTTTTAACATTTTATTACGGGCTCATACAACTGTCATCCAAATCCATACACACATCAATTGTGTAAAGCGCATTTGTACATCGTTTCTCAAAACATTTTCTCTCCACTCAAACCCCCGACACCAGGGCTTGGTATGGGCTGATTGTGGGACCAGATAATTGTTTGTTTGTTTTTTTTAAACATTTTATTAGGGGCTCATACAACTGTTATCCAAA